CGGGCGTGCAGCGGAGGCGGCAGCCAGGAAGGCGCAGGCGCACTGGGAGCAGCCGCGGGCCATGCCGGGCAGCAACAGCTCGTCCCTCCGCCGCTCCTGCCTGCCGGTTGCTCGCTGTCAAGATTACTTAGGCGCACTGGGAGAGGTCACGAGCCGTGCTGGGCAGTGATCGCTCGGCCCTCGGCTGCTCCTGCCTGCGGTTGGTAGGAGACGGGGACACGCAGGCGCCCTTGGGAGCAGCCGTGGGCGTGCGGGGCAGCGATACTCCTCTCCGCTGCTCCTGCTTGCAGGTTGCGCGCAGTAAGGAACGCGCAGGCGCACTGGGAGCGGCCGCGGGGCATGCCGGGCAGCGACCGCTCGGCCCTCGGCTGTTCCCTCCTGCTGGTTGCTAGGCGTCGGGGACGCGCGCCCGCACGGGGCGGCCGCGCAGCAGGCCCTGGGACGGTTCGTCTCCTCCCGGGTTGGCCCGCGTCTCTCCGGGGCGAGGATACTCCGGCTGCCCTGCCCGCGAAGAGCGATGGAGCCGGGGAAGGTCGGTGCGAGGCGGGGTCTGGGCCGCGGGCGCGTGAGCAGCCCCGTCCCGCCCCCAGAGTGGCTGTTGCTCAATGGCCGGGACGCGCGCCAGCCTACCCGGCCCTGCGCTCGGCTGCGGGGCCCGGGCGTCCCCAGGAGCCGCTTTGCTGCCCCGGGCTTGTGGCGCCCGCCGGGGAAGGTTGGTCTCTGTGCGGAGAGCTGCTTAGAAAATCCGCGTCCTTGTCCGCCCTGGAGGCCGAGGTCCTCACCTGCTCTCTCAACTCTCGGTGGCCGCGGTGGCCCCGAGTGCCGTGCCCGCTCGTCCCTCTGCTCTTGCCGGCGCAGACCGTGGGCGGAAAGCCCGACAGCAGCGTCCGCACTGTTGCGGGTAGCCCGGCCTGGTAGCCCTGGCTGGAGGGGGCCGTCGAGCCCTACAAATGTGGCTGCTGTGGCTGAGCCGGATCTTAAATTTCATTCTGTTTCAACTAGTTTAAGTTTGAATGGTTTTATGTCATAGCTTCAGAGGTGGACATTGCACTTTGGTGGGTTGAGTTTTAATTCTGGCCTCTGTATTGACACGGGAAAGTTACTTAACATGTCTTATTTCTTAGTTCACAAAATGGTCATCGTCGTCATTGCAATGCCGTGAGTGTTTATGAGGATAAACGAGATATTATATGTAAAAGTGCTTAGAACAGTACCTGCTATTTCATTAATACTGAGTAAATGTTAGCTGTTATTATTATTGTTGTCTGTTGATTCCGCACTAAAAGATTTGTTCTTGGCAGCTGGCGGTGTGGGGATCCGAACACTTGATCTTGGTGTTCCAAGACTTGCTCTAATCAGCTGAGCTAATGGCCAGTTAAGACAGGGAATCTAGTTTGCATACATTTTTCTCCTACCTTCTCTCCCGTCATTTATGTATTTATTTTCCTATCGTTTACCTCAAGAACGTTAAATAGCATTCTTTAATTTGTTTTTTGTGTTATATCAACCTTAGATAGTATCTTTTTTTTTGGTCCTTTTTGAGACTGGCCGCACCGCGCTCAGCCAGTGAGCGCTGTGAGCGCACCGGTCATCCCTATATAGGATGCGAACCCGCGGCTGGAGCGCTGCTGCGCGCTCCCAGCACCGCAGAGTGCGCCACGGGTGGCTCGGCCCTAGATAGTATCTTTTAACTTCCCCTCCCTAAGATTAGGAAGTTACCACCTTACACTATCCCAGCACCGCAGAGTGCGCCACGGGCGGCTGGGCCCTAGATAGTATCTTTTAACTTCCCCTCCCTAAGATTAGGAAGTTACCACCTTACACTACCCTCCCTTTCTCCTTATAAGCCCACCAATTTCCTGACCTCTGGCATTTTCTATACAATTTCCTTTACATTTCCATAAGTTATGCTGTAACTTATGTTTTCTGTGATTGGTTTATAGATTGACTTAAACACTATAACGTCATGATTATGTAAGTAGTGTTTACTCCAGAACCAATGATAGGATTGGACCAATAGAGAAAATGCAGTCCTGTATTCCTAAGTGCATTCTGTTCAAACAGTGTTCCTGGCATCAGGGTCAAATAGATCATCTTTTCGTACATTTAATTAATGTACCACGGTGTAATTTGCTTCATATTTGAACCACATCTTTGAGTTCAGGGCTGTCAAAATAATTTACCGTTCTAGCCAACACCTGAGGATAGTTTCCTCCCTGACCTCCCTTTCTTAGAGCATTTACTAAGAAGGGCTTAAATTATGAATCCTTCTCTGTCCCTTTGAGATGTCTGTGTATCTCCTACAACTCAGGAGTGTGTTTCTCAAGGACCTGAGAGCCATTCCTTTAAAATATCATCATCAGGAAGGATAGGGCTCCTGTTCCCAGTCTCCGTGGGTGGATAGAATCCTAACGTGGATGATTGTCAGCTAGCAGACACAGCTAGCCTAATTGCATTTACATTGCCCACCACTTATGATTTTTTACATGAATCAACTCCCACCCTTCATTCCCCCTTTAAAACACCCAGTCGCACAAATAGAAATGGACCTCTGCTGGTTCCCCTGCTGTTAGTAGTTACTGAGTAAAATGTTTTCACCACTTTAACTAATATCCAGCTTTGTTTATCTTTGACATCCCCCCTCCCCTCACTTCTAGTCTGTCAGCGAAGTCTAGAAAGGAAGCAGTCTGAGGTCAGCTTCTCGTATACAAAGTAGACTCCGTGCTGTCAAAGTTTTAGGCATTGCATGCTTCACCTTGGCACCCCACATACAGGACTCTCATCCACAAATGCATGTACACCAAAATTAGGATGTTTACTTCAGCAGTGTTTGTCATTCGGAATATTAGAAAAAACTAACATGTTCATCAGCCAGGGACTGGATGTGTAAATTATGGTGTATTAACAGTCAGTGATTATAGTGAATAATCTTGATTCAGTGGCTGAAATTGATCATCCTATTTACTTAGTGTCCGTTTTCTTCCCAGCAGCTTTACTACCAAGGAGCCATCAGTTAGCGTCAATAATAACAAGAATGAATAGCAGGCAAGAACTTGAATAGGCCATATTTAATAATTTTGTCCTAAGTAACTTGATAATTAACAACAGTCCAGTATAAGGAGTTACTAAAAATAAAAAATTAGGACAGCAAAAGGTGAATTTTGTCTCACTCCTAAAGATATGTGTGAACCAGCTCTGGATCTTTAGTAAATGCACTGTGTTGCCATGTAGGGTTAGTGAATCATCTGCCATTTGATTGGCCCCATTCATTCCAATCTACAGTTCTGAGAATTCTTGCTGGTGTCTTGTGGAGACTAGGATGATGATGGGGATGTCATGCCGCCAGTACTGTGGGTCCACTAAAATAGATGCGACTGGGCAGGGCCTGTGCACCACCTCTCTGTGCTGTGGACACAGGTTAGAAAATCCCTTTGGCTACTTTGATCGTTACGGTCTGGACTGGATTTACAGCAGTGGGACTGGACAGGAAGAATGGATTTAGAAACATGTTAGAAGAAGAAATATTAGGACTTGATGACTGATTTTATCTGAATTGAGAATGGAATGTTGATTACGAGAAGATCCTTGTCAGGCCCCTTTCCACAGACCAGTCCTGGCACGTGATTGAAGCAGGCCCAACACTTGCGCCCTGGCCAGTGACCAGTGTGTCGAGGTGAAGGGAAACAAAGTACAACCACTCAGGGGAAGCGGTGTCTAACCTGAAGGTTTAAGGGAGCAGTGACAGCTGCTTTAAAATGTTTTGGAGGTGATTCAAGGAAGACAAAATAACTTACTTTTTAAAAACATTTCTTAATGTGCAGTAAACTAGTTAAGCTGATATTTAGCTTTAACTTTTGGAGTTTGTTATACTGAGGTGATACTGGGCATGGATGGCAAGAGGAGAATCACACCACTTTGGGGGATGGCTGCAGGCACCCAGGGAGCACCTTTGTGATTAAATCTACCAGCTGTGGGGGTTACACACCATGAACAGGTTGGAGTCAGGACCAGGCACTCCAGCTGTTGGGCTTACATAACTTGCAAACTCTCATGTTCAAGCATAGTTAGGACGAGATGTCACAAGGATGACACGAGCTTTGGTTTTCTGGATATAGGGATGCGGGATCTGAGGAGCTGCCCAGGGACGTTGACCCTGAGCTTAGTCCCCATGAGTGAGGATGTGTTTTTACCACCTCTGATTTTCGTTCAAGAGTAAACAGTGAGTAGTATAAAGAGTAACTGGTGGGGCCGGCCCGGTGGCGCACTGGATAGTGCGCCGCTTGGGAAGCGCGGCGGCGCTCCCGTCCGAGGGTTCGGATCCCACATACGGACCGGTTCCCGCTCACTGGCTGAGCGAGGCGCGGGGGCAACACCGAGGGTTGCAATCCCGTTGCCGGTCCCCGGTCCGGTACGGGGGCAACACTGAGGGTTGCGATCCATTGCCGGACACGGAAAAAGACAAAAGACAAAAAAAAAAAAGAGTAACTGGTGAACACCATCTAACTTATTCTGCATAGTGATGTAAGACGTGAGATAAAATGATTGGCTTGGGAAGAAATTAAACTTTTTGTGGACAGTTTCCTGTGACTCTGCAGGCCCTACCTCCTGGAGACTGAGGCCACCCCGAGGGGAGGCCCGTCAGCTCCTGCCCTCACTGCCACCTTGGCGTTCAGCAGGACCCTGTGGCCTGGCCAAACACACTGTGCTGAATCCAGCCTGTCCGTGTGGCTGTGGTCTTCACCCAGAGCCACCGGAATGTTCTAATGGAGGCTTGTACCTGTTTTTGGCTTAAGACCTTTTTTTGACCTAAGAGCTTTTTCCTTGGTAGGGATTCCAGCCCAAGTTTACTTCTTGAATTTCAGGATGAGATGAAAGAGTTGTGAAGAGAATTCCTTTGAAGCCCTGCATTGATGGGGAGGGGAGTTAAATCAGTTTAATCCATTTTATTCTGGAGGCAGATGAAAGAGATTTAAAACTTGTTTAATGTTCTCATTGTACAGTAATCCAAAGAGTTTTGTTATAAAAAGACAATTCTAGACAATTTAGTTGATTTATAAAATCAAACGGTGTGTGCGTGCGCGTGGTGGTTGCTCATCTTGTTTTCTGCCCATCACATGCACTTAGTACACCTTGCCCAGGGTCACATAATTATAGATGCTGAACATCATGGAGTTTAATTCTCAGGTTTACTTGTACGTGGGCTGAATGGTCCTGTAGGTGTGATGGTCTTGCTGTTTAGCTCTCCTGATGTCCCCCCAGGTTGGACTTTATTCCTCTCATTGGGGGAAACTTTGCCCTCCCAGTCTTTATTTGGAGAGTTAATTTTAAGTGTGGGTGGCCTGCCTACTCCACAGTACCGGGTCTGAAATGCAGGTTGAGTTGGTCTTTAAGAGCAGAGAGTCAGGAGGAAAAAAAAAAAGATGAAAGACCCCCTTATCTGAATTAAATGTGTGGACCATGCCTGGGTGTGTAGAGTTTATGGGGAGAGAGTGTGAAGGGGCAGAGGAAAGACTTGTACCATTTTATAACTTAAAAAAATTTAAAAGAGAAAAAGAGGAAAGAAAAGAAATCTTCAGGGCTAAACAAGGCCATTTACCTGATTTTTAAGTGCCCCCAAACTAGTCAGCATTCTCTGCATTTATAAGGAAATTGCTGGGGGTATTTTTGTGGGTGAAACTTAAGAGGCAGAAGAAAAAATCCTGTGGTCCCTTGCCTTCAGGGCTTTTTCTTTATCAGTGTCATTAATATCATTACAACCATTAGGAAACCCAACCTGATGGTTTTCTCTGGCATTTTTACTTTTAATTCTGATTTGGTGGCCGTATATCTTCCTCTGCTCGGTGACTGTCCTGGTCATCACGTCTCCTCGGGACACACTTGCGCTGCATTGAATTCAGCCCGTTTGTTTCGAATAGGCCATATATTAACCTCCATACAAAGCAGTTAATGTGAAAGAAAAAAGACGTTCAGAAGCTACAATTACCACTTCCCTGCCTGCAGGGATCATCCTATGCGATGTCTTACTACAGACCCATTTTGTCAAATCAAACCAATTTATCAAAAAAAAAAAAGTTTTCTAGTGATAGATCACTATAAATTTTGTGGTTATAGTATATTTTGGGTAGGTTCTTATAACTGATTGCTTTTTTACTTAATTCAATTTAGTATATTTATGAGCTATTATGATTTTTTTTTCTGCTTGCCCTAATTTTCATGTAACTGGGAAGATTTTTAGTGGCTTATCCATGATAAGTTTTCATTTGTACTACATCAGGTTTTCGTCTGAAGCACACTTTGCAAACTTTTCCTTTTTTGTACCTTTAAGGCAGTGTTTCTCAAAGGGAGGATGGAATAGGATAAACGTTATGTTCTTCTCCCCAGGAAACCATTTTTGGTTGATTTTGCTTTGGTTGTCGAGCTGCGTCTTACATGTGGACAGTTAGCTGTGTCGTGGACGTGGTGAAGGGGTATGGCTTTACCGTCATGCAGTGACTGACGACGGTGTTCTGCCCAGGAGCATGTATGGCCCTGTGGAGCGGGAACCACACACAAGAACAGGCTGGGCTCCACCTCCACAGGGCTCTTGCTCACACCAGGGAGACCAACACACAAATGTTAGTAGGAAGCCCTGTCAGAAGAGTCTGTGGCCAGTGTGAGGAGGCACGTAGCACAGTGGGACGGGAAGTGACTGAGGCGAGGGGTGAGCAGCAGTAAACATTTACCATCCTCATGGCTTCTGCGGGTGAAGGATTTGGGAGTGGCGTGGGTGGAACGTTAGGTTGCAGTCAAGATGTCATCCGAAGGTTTACTTGGGCTGAGGGGTCCTCTTCCAAGGAGGCCACTCACAGGGCTGCTGGGCTGTCCATGTGGCCTCTCCAGGGGTGCTTGAGTGTCCTCAAGAAGTGGCAGCTGTCTTCTGGAGTGAGAGTGCCAGAGCCAGGGGGAGCTACTGATTTTGGACACTGGCTGGAGCATCGTGTGGCATGTCCTCATTAAAAGTGAGCCATTGGATCCAACCCACATGCGTGAGAAGGGAATTAGGCTGACTTGTGAAGGGAGGGTTGTCGAAGAATTAGTCTTATTTTTAACACCACCCTTAAATTCTTAGAACGATGGGTAACTGATGATCTGACTGTCATGATGCACTCCTTTACCACGGATCCATAGTTGGTGTTTATTCATGGCTAGTATTTGCTGTTAAGTGCTAAACAGTTGTGGGTGCCCGAGAGACAGAGAGGATTGCGACAGATTTCCTTTCCCAAAGGTGAGAATTTAGCTGGAGAAGTGTGATCTGTGCTTGGAAGCTAGGTGGAGAGATGTGATCATAGCTGAAAGATAGATGGACAGATATGATCTACGTTTGAAGAGGAGCACTTTTGTGATGTTGTGAGGCACTCGCACAGAGGAATCCAAGACCAAGAGCTATGGTCTTATAGCTCTTTTAATAGTTGACAGCTCTTTTTGGTGTTACAGCTCTTTGTTCAGTGTGACAGCACTTCATCTCTTGCAAGCAAGGAGAGCACTGGGGAGTGAAGACTCCTAGACCAGTGTCTCCCAGAACAAAGGAAAAAAGCAGTCTTATACCCTAAAATTCCCGCCCTAACTTCCCACCCAAGTTCCCATTTAGGTCCTCCTATGTAACTGAGGGATGCAGTCCTGCTAATTTGTATTGGCTGATTATGGGACACAGTCCATCGGTCAGCTCTGGAGCCTAATTTGCATCCAGACCTTAGGGCCCTGTGAGACTGTTGTCTCCTATTAGCACATGGATACAGGTGGGTGCAGGAAGCTGGCGAGCCAAGCCTCAGGAGCCAGAGTTCGCTACCAAGACAGTCAAGCATAAAATCTCCAAAATGGTTTCTTGAGCCGAAAAAAGGGAAAGGTTTAATTAACAATTAGAAAATGCTCAGGGTTCCCTGCAACAATCAGAGACAACATCAAACATTAGGGGAGTCACATGCAAGTTTCTGGAGGTAGGGACTTTCTTTGCTTTTGTTTGTCAGCATAGTCCCAGGGTCTGGCACAGTGCTTTGTGTTTGCTAAGAGCTTGGCATGTGCGGTGTTTGTTGAATGAGTACAGGTGTCTTCGTGGAGGGAAGGAGCTGAGCTTTTGGGCTGCCTGGTCTTCAGTGCAGACAGATAGGCCTGTCGGTGGTCAGGGGGGACAGGCAGGCTTTTTTCATACTGTGTCTGGTTTTTTACTTATTCCACAGATATTTATTCAGTTCCTATTATGTGCCTAGCAATGTGCAAGACTCTGATGAAAGGTATTTAGCCACGTGCCTCAGTTTTCTCATTTGTAAAATGGAGCCAATAAGGTTATGAAATTCAGATAATGCTTTGACTCAATTTAGCATCCAACACGCATTAAGTGCCAAATACATTCTGTCTGTCCATACATCCCAGTTGCTATTGCTGCTTTAAAAAACCACTGCAAACTTTGTGGTGTAAAACAACAGCAGCCTTTTTATTTTGCTCACGTGTTCTGTGGGTCATGAATCAGAGAGCTCAGAGCAGGAATGGCTTAATTCTCCCCAGCCTCTGGGGCCTCCGTGGGGGAGATAACAGCTTTGGGAGGGGGTGACGCATGAGGTGAGGCTAGAGTCATTTGAAGTCCTGCCTCTCACATCTGGCTGATGCTGACTGTGTGGCATTGTCTGGGCCTGTGGCTGGAGCATCTGCATGTGGCCTCTCTCCCTGTGGCTGCTTTTCCTCCTCACAGCTTGGTGTCTGGACTTGGCAGCCCACGGAGGGCCAGGTGGAAATCATATTGCCTTACAAGCCCCACAGCAGCCTTCTGTCGTAGGATGAGCCCCACTGCAGTAGAAGGAGCCCAGACCCCTTCTCTGTGGCCGCAGCATTTGGGATGACAGAGATCATTGTCACTGTTTTTTGGAAAATACTGTCTGACACAATATATTATAAACCCACAAAATATTTGTTCTTGGGCTTTTGTTCAACTGCCATTGTAACTTGTTTTCACCTTTATTTTGTAATATTTAATAGTT